TTTTCTTCCGCTGTTCACAAAAAGGTTTTTAAAGAACATTTGAGAAAAGGAAAACATATAATGAAAAAAGCATCACTTTTAGTAGTTCATGAACTTAACGATGTTGTAGAAGAGCAAGGCTTGTCAATTCCAGTTGGAAACCATCCTGAGAAAGTATCTCCATCCTAAACTTCCAGTAAACACAATGTGCTTATGTGTCATGTGGCTTCTCTGAAGAGTGATGGTAGGTCACACTTTAAGTCACCAGTGCTTCTGGAGAAAGGAGAGGCACTACAGCCTGTTTGTCAGGGATGCCCCAGCCTGCCTGTCTGTCCCGTACAAGTACTGGGTCCTGGCCCCATGCATCTCCCTAGACTTGGGCAGGAGGAAGAGGGCCCTGGAGCCCTGGAGTCCTGCCTTCTGGGGCTCAGCATCCAAGCAGGCTCTATGCTGGCCAGGCTCTGACCTATGCCCCATGTCTGATATCTGCCTCCTTCCCCAAACCCCAGGCTTTGCTTCTAGCATCTGGATCCTGTCTTGCTTCTCTGGCCTGAGTCCTAGGTTAGTTCACCTGCCAGATAGCCTGGTATTTCTCAACCTGTGACCCCATGATACTGTTGCCAAACCCCACATCCCCTGGACCAAGTCTGAACCCTGGACCGAGTCTGAACCCTAAACCAGGCTGATGCAGTCCCTGTCACCTACAAACAGAGCCCTGTGGTGCCTCCACCCTGCCAGGGCCTGTGTTTTGTCTGCTGCTCACAAGCTCTGTGTTCAGCCACTTTGTCAGGACACACTCGGCCCAGGGCTAGACCTGTTATGCTACCATTTAGCCTGATTACTGCCTCTTTCCTCTTATTATTCTCTTGGAACACTATGTTCTGCCTTCTAGGCCAGACTTGTCCCTGGCATTGACAACTTATCTCTGTCCCTGCAGCTGCAGCCCGGCTTTCCTGCCCACACCTAACCTGGTTATGTCCAGCCTTGACGGGCAAGAGGCCCCAAGTGCCTTTCTTTCAAATGGGACCTAGTTCTCACCTCACATGAGACTTTTCACAGAGGCATCCACTGGAAAGGGCAGAACTGGAGCAGGCCACTGCAAGGGGGCAGCAGACAAAGAGAAAAGGAGGGAGGAAGGGCAGCGTGGGTGTCTGACCTGGCAGAGTACACGTCTGACCTCGAGGGGCCGACATTCCAGTGAGAATAAAGTTGAGATGCTCTAGCTTGAATAGCAAGATCCCTTCTGATCTGATCTAACTCCTGCAGCCTTGCCACACATTGTGACCACACTGTTGCGTGCACACCATGATGGAGCCATGGAAATCACATGAAATCCCTCAGGCCTATCAGGCGCACTCCTGGTGTCAACAGGTCTCAACTCTTCTGCTGAGGTTCATGCCCTTCCTTTATTCTCTCCTCACACCCAAGTGGGGAACATAGTACAGATACCTCTGAAACTCCAGATCCTGGCAGTAGTACGTGCCCAGGAAATGATGAGTGAATGAATGAACTAATAATTAATTTAATTGCCATGCCTCGAAAATCCTAAACACAAAACCCCAACCTGCCTTCCAAAAAATGCTTATCAAATTGACAAAATTACTGGACTATGAATCAATAAACTGGATTTTTGTTTTTGTTTTGTCTAGTCCAGTTGGGAACAGACAACCAAAAAGATACATTCCCTGTCCTTAGGCCTCGCCCTCTTTTGGCTTGGAGCCAGCAATACTGAGAGGAGCTAGACAGGCTGAAATGAATAACCCTTCCTCTTGTTTAAGTACAGTTTCTAAAAGAAAGTGCTACTGTATACTTAATTGGATTCTCTCTTGCTGTAATTTGAGCCACCCTCCTCTTTTCCCTGAGTAGAATTATAACTCATTATCTCTGCAGTTCACAGGGGCAGCTTTTCCAAGCCAGACAAGGAACCGACTCTCAGAGTCTGCATTTTCTTCTCACCTTTGTCTTCCTGTGTATGTCTCTCTCTCAGATTTTCAAAGTTTGTGCATTTGTTTTAATGAGTTAATACATAGTATGCTCTTGCGCTCTTTGAAAAAAACAATTTCCATCTGTTCCTATATTGTTAAAATGTAATGACTTTTTTTAAAGTTTAATCCTTCTCTACTTCTTCTCAAATACTGAATCTCAGATCCTTTGAGGTCCAACATAATTTAAGTGTTAATTCCTTTCTAAGCTCTTTTCAAGCTACTGCACTCACTGTGCAGATTTCATTAAACCTCACAGTCTCTTCATATTGATGTCTCACGAAAAGCAAAGTAACTCTTGCTATATATATTAGAATTTTTTGCTCAAGAGTAGTGTCTTTTGTCCCCATTTCTGCAGATACGTTTATTTGGCCTTCAAAAAGAAAACAGAAATCTGTTTCAAGTAAAAGAGAATGCAAGTGCTGGGCTTCCCATCCATTTGTGGGAAACGTCTAGTTATTATAATTCACAGGGCTCTCATTTCAGGGTTTGCAGTCCTGAGTGGTTTCAGCCTTAAATCATCTTGCACTGGCAAATAATGGTGAGGGCCAGGCCAGGAAAGAAACAGATGAAGCCTATGTACAGAACGAGATTAAATAGAAGCACCAGCATGCCAATATTCCCATTGCCAATGTTTCTATTTGTAATATATTCACCTTGGAAGCCAATATGTTATTTCAGTGATGAGGATGTTGAAAACCACTCTGTTCTGGAAATTATCCTTTAGAATTGGCATCTGGATCAGCAGAACAAATCTTGATTGTTTTGGGGTTTCTTTTACTTGATAAGTAAACTTTTAGAAATAATGGCATACTATTAGGATACTTCAAAAAGTTTGCGGAAAAATGAAATTGAAAGATAATATGAATCTTTCCATGAACTTTTTGAAGTACCCTCACCCTTATATTAGATAATCAGATTGGGTCATTCTAGGTGGAAACTTTAAACAGTTATATTTATACATGTTTAAATATGGAACCAGAGACCTGGGTCCTAGTTCTGACTCTGCCATTTGTTTGCTTTGTAATGTTGGAAATTTTACTTTACTTTAAGCCTCAATTTCTTTATCTGTAAAATGGGAATAGATGTGGAACTTTATGAGGATTAAATGAATAACCAGAGTTTGAGTCTTGTCCCTGTCACTTCTAAACTTGTATGTCTTTTGTATATCACTTTGTTTTGAGTAAGAGTAATATCAGCACAGAATCCTGGAGTCCTGAAATGTTAGTGCTCTAAGAGATTTTCCAGTCAAACAGTCCCATATTTCAGATAGAGAAATCCAGAACCATAATTATAGAGGAAGTACCTAAAATGTCAAGGTGACTACTTTGAAAGAAAATGCTTATTTGACATTTATATTTAGGGTTAAAAACAAAAACAAACAAAAACCTCACATCTTATTGAAGTCACACTGGTGGTACACTATCAAATTAAATGGAGTTTCTAATAAATGGGACAGCAGTCCTCTTGGGGTTGCAGACAGGATTATACCATCTATTCTGTTCAACTGAGAGGAGGAGTGGGGAAATGTCCACGGTAGCTGGAGGAATGCCATAAACCTTTTCCCAGGAAGGAAAAGGTTTTGCTGGACCTGTATCATCTGGAGTTTCTTAGTAAACAAAAGGCGTGGTTGTCATCTCATCTGCCTCTAGGCTTATCCAGCCTTTCAGCCCAGGTAAGCAAAGAGGGAAGCCATGCAGAGGCCCAAGGCACAGGCTGCATATGAGAACCAAAGAGATGGGGGCAGGAAGGAAGAATGGGAATGATCAAGGATGAGGAGGGAGAAAAGACAGGAAAGTAAGAGACGAGAAGGGAGTTTCATCCTCACGGAGTACTGGAGGGTCACCATGACATCGCCTGGTGGCACCTGTGCTACTGTCTGTTTACCTGGGGACATTCACACTACTAGTGAGGGTATCTGCTTTCTGCAAACAGAAAAACCCTCAGGATGGATCCCCTTGTAGTTACTCTTAGAAACTTAGTACAGTATTTTAACAGTCTCTGTTCTTAGTAAGGTTTTACTTATTTAGAAAAAAAATCCCTGTATATTACCTTTGAAATTACTTGCTTTATTATCAGACTGAAAAAATGATTCAGTGTTTATACTGGGAAACCCATCCTTTTTTGCTCCCTTCCCGTTTTTCAAGTTGTTTTTTTATAAAGGGCATAAAAATTTCAAAAGGATGGGCCAATTATTTGTTCATTGAATTATAGGAAGAAAGTGTGATTATCCAGTAGAATTCAGAAATGCATATAGCTAATTTTATGCCTGTTCGTATCTAGCCCAGCCATAGTAATTATAATCACTCTTTTTTTTCTTCCTGGGGGAAATAGGTTAGGTGGGACCTGAATGCATCATTATAAAGCATGCATAGAAATTGAACTTTCCTAAATCTAGGTAACATGGGGAGAAGACTCCTTTGATAAAACCAGGACAATTAGATTTACAGGACACTTCAATGTTAAATCATATTCTTCCCCCATTCTAGACCATAAGGCAATGTAAACAATACACTGATGTTAAGAAACAGAAAATTGCATTCACAGTAATAGCGAAGCTTCATGGTGCATGGTTTTACACTTTAATATGCTGTGTTCTGTTCTGCCATGTTAATATTTTAAGTAATATAATTTCCTTTTTGTGTAGTTTTAGGTTCATCTTTTTTTCTCTCTCTTTACCATTCTGGAATAGCTTTCTAAAATGCTATATCTTACGCCAGGAGAAATTCCTGAAAAATAGAAATCATAAAGTCAAATACTCTTTGCAGGAAAATAGCAAAAACAACAAGAAAAGTGGGTTTAAGATTCTCCAGCCTGGGGCCGGCCTGGTGGCGCACTGGAGAGTGCGCCGCTTGGGAGCGCGGTGGCACTCCCACCAAGGGTTCGGATCCCATGTGGAGACCGGTTCCCGCTCACTGGCTGAGCGCAGTGCAGGCGCAACACCGAGGGTTGCGATCCTGTTACCGGTCAGTAAAAAAGACAAAAAGGAAAAAAAAAAAAAGATTCTCCAGCCAAAATGTTATCTTGCGTACTTTACAGACTCAATCTGCGTCCCAGGCTTTGATCCAAGCCTCAACATGATGACTGGAATCACCCCCATTAATCCAATGATACCAGGCCTGGGGCTGGTACCACCCCCTCCACCAACAGAAGTGGCTGTCGTCAAAGAAATAATCCACTGCAAAAGTTGTACTCTTTTTCCTCAAAATCCAAGTAAGTAACACCTGTGAGAAATATTTGCTCATCATTTTAAATGTTCTTCCTTTTTTTTTTATTTTAAATAGCATTGCATTCATTTTCAGATGTAACTCACCCAGAGCAGGGTTACATCCATGCTACAGAAGGGCTTTGCCTGTAGAATAGAACAAATATGCAGAGATGTGACCATGTGTCTGTCCAGAAACTGAATCAACACTGTGAAGCCAGTGCGTGGGATTTGGGGATACATATCCAGTGTTAAGAATCTTTTTGCACGCAATGAATTCTAGCATTTGCTGGAGAACATAGTGTGAAATATGTGAGCACTTCCATCCATCTTCACAAATGTGGGGGAAAAATTGTAATGTGTTTTGCTAGATGGAAAATTGAATTAATTTGGCACTTAGGGGCTGGGGTGGTGGGGACTACATCTCAGAGTTTCTGGACCAAATTACATTTGCTTGAAGGAAACATACATTTGATGAAGTAAATGGGCCAGATTTTTTTTTTCTTTAATTTAGCCTCAGATACTAATTTTATGGGCTTAAATAGCTAGGATTTTTTTTTATTCATATTAATCAGAGTTGCCTTTTTTAAGTGGACTTTTCAGAAGATTACTTTAGTAATCTACATATAAACTAGGTAAAATGTTGTGACAGTGTACATTTTATCTTTTTATACAGCCTCCCTAAAATTTAATCGTTTGCTCATTTAAATATGAATAATAACAAAGTGTTTTTTTCAGGCGCGGTGTTTCACAGCCAAGTAAGTATTGTGTGTGCGTTTTTAGGTTTCGCTTCCTGTGTTCTGCCTGGCCGCTCCTTTATCTGGCAACAAGACAAAGGAGATAACAAGCCGAGGTTTTTCATCATGTTGTCATTTCATCATGTTTTGTACTTTGTGAAGTGCCCCCCGCCCCGCCCCAATTTTCTGGGCTTCTGTATTATGAAGGAGAAATGAAATTATGCTAACACTTGCTTTATCTTTGTTCACGGACAAGCAGAGCCACTCTGTGTGGAAATGAACACAGAAAGTACAGGTTGGGAGGAGGAGGGAAGAGGAACTTAAAAAAAAAAAGGATAATGTCAGTTGGTATAGAAATTTACCATTTGTTGCTCAGTCTGGAGAAAGTCACTCATTCAGCTTTACTTTTGCCGGGAAGAACCAGAAAAAAAGAGCAAGTAAATAAAAGACAAAACTCTGTTTTCTTGTGATTATTAGATCTTCCACCTCCTTCCACAAGAGAACGACCTCCTGGGTGTAAGACTGTGTTTGTTGGAGGATTACCAGAAAATGCTACTGAGGAAATTATTCAAGAAGTCTTTGAGCAGTGCGGGGATATTACAGCAATTCGGAAAAGCAAGAAGAATTTTTGTCACATTCGCTTTGCGGAGGAATTCATGGTTGATAAAGCCATTTACCTTTCTGGTACTTTGCATTACATAAGGGGTTTTCTAGGCATTTTGTTATGTTTTGTGATGTTAATATGAGCTTATTCCCTTTTGCCTTAATGCACAATAAAATCTTCATAGTTTGGGGCTGGAAAAGGAGGAATTCTGCCTTTGTCCTTAGCTGCCAGAAGCTCGATGTTAAGTCTTTGAATGTACCTCACTGCAGGAACAATTTCCCACCATCCAGTCTTTAGGAATTCCATCAAGTTTCTAATTAATGTTCTCAAGTGCTTATTAGATGAAAAGCAATATTATGAGTACTAAGGACCATTGTTATTATTGGATGTAATCCTCTGGGGGAATAAAGTACTCTCTCAGAATAATTTCAGTTTTTCAGAAGTGGATTCATTTCTAGACACCAGAGCACCGAAGCCAAATCAGTTCCTTGCAGAAAAGTAGTTGATGAGCCCTAGGATAAGGCCCTGTGTTATTGCCCATTGGTAGTCCATTAAGCCTGCCCGATGGTCCTTGTTCTTGGTGCCAGTTTTTATAGGAGATTTTTACAGATGTTGAAATCAGGCCTAACGCTGCCTTCCGCTCTGTGGGTGTTGGAGCAAGTGAATAGAGTCTGTCACAAGGCCTTTGCCAATCTGAGAATTATGAGGCTGGTGTTGATATGTGGCTTTAGACAGACATATTTTTAGATTCAACTCATTGCTATTCCCTCACACTCTCCATCCGCATTTTTCAGCCTGTCACTCTCTGCACACCACCTCCATATTTCTAAGGCAAAGCTAAGGGGGAAGGTGGGGGGAAAATAGGGGGGCAAAAAACCCATCTGAACATTACTGCCAGGTTTTACTTAATTTCTGCAGTTGGCTTTTATTGCCATGAAATTCTGCGTGAACCCCGGAAACCTTGAGCTTGTTCCGATACCGCAGATACTTTCCTGAGCTAGATAGTGATATGGAGAACTTTAAAACGCGTATTCCAATAAAACCTTAAAAAGTGAAATGTGAAATCTGAAAGCATTCCAAAATGGAAATGAAATACAAAACATGGAGTAAAGACATTTTACAACACACAACAGCAATTAGACCACTGTTGAGTAGTCTGTTGAACAGTGTATTCTGTTGAGTACATGGCGCTGCGTTTCACATGTCTTGGCCTAGGTAACCTCTGTTTGAGGTTATCTCATCTGCAAAATAGAGATATTAACAGTACCACCTCATAGGATTGTTAGGATGAATAAATCAAATAATGAATATTAAGTGCTTAGCAGGGAACCTGCAACATAGGAACTGGTCAGCAAATTGTTGTTTTTAACACAAATACCCTGATGATGATAAAGGATTGATTCTCATTTCTCCGGAATCCTGCCCAGGGGACCCAGATTCTAGTCACAGCTCTACCCATAAGACTGTTACTTTATCCCACTTGATTAAATGAGAGGGTTAGAGTAGATCAAAGGTCCCAACTCCAATGCAACACCAATGTTTACACCCAATCAGAAAAATCCCATAAGAGACTGACAAATATGAACGGTCCCAAATTTAGGCATATGAAAGGCATTCCTTTATGCCTGGATCCTCTGCTTTTCCCAGACACAGCCCAGGTGTTGCTTCTCTCAGCAAGTCCCTGAATGTTCCTTGGTCTGCCCCTTTATGGCAAGGGGAGAAGAGAGCAATGGCCTCACCTCCAGCCTCCTTGACTGAGTGCAGAGGAGTCTCCAGCTCTGCCTCCACCACCCTGCAGGGGCTGCAGCATCAGTCTTGGGAAGATCTGAAAGGCTGATTAATTGGAGGGCAGGAAGGAAGTCAGGCTGCCGCTCTTATAAGCTCAAGCCCAGCTGGAAGGCCTGTTTAATTTTAGGACTGTGTTCATATTTGAAGGCCAAGCTAATTTTAGACTCAGCCTCATCAGTTTCTCTTTTAAGGCTTTAATGATGATGTTTTGGTGAAAGTGAGGTTGCTTCTGGAGCCAGAGATGTTTGAAAAGTGATTCTTTGGACATGTATAGGGGAACGTTGCTGGGCCAGTTGGGACAGCTGGCCAGTCCTAAGAATGCCTATTCCTGCCTGCTCAGCTGTGAGGTATACATCACCATGGCCTGCTGACTTGTTAAGTTTGTGTGGCCCACAACCAAGATGCAGTTTGCTTTACTGTTATTTCTGCTCATCTGTAATTGGATGTTTTTGTTTTTGATGGGTGTTGTTTTGTCTTCCCATTTTTAGAAAACACTGTTGAAAATCTAGGAGTGGAAAGGGTTCAGTGGCATCACAGGAATCAAATGTGAGATCTGTATCTTATTTGTAACTTTTCAAAGGTGTAAAGTGGCCTGCTAGGGAGAGGCCAGCCTCTATAGGGATGTTCAGCTGAGTTTTAACCCAAAATGCTAAGTTAATCCATTGAAATCTACCATGAGATCTTGAACACCAGCACAGTGCAGCCTAGCATTTTACAGTTGTATCTCATTTGCAAAGCCTCTACACAGCAAAAGTACTTATTTTGCTGTCTCGTCTCACAGCCCCTGGCAGCTGTGTTCCTGCTGGGACCTGAATTTATGATCTGAAAATCCGAGTACCCCAAACTGAAGAGCAATCTCAAAGTCAACTCTTGGTCATTTGAAGTTAGGCTGGCTGGATGATTTCAGTTCTTCTTGTGTTGATTTCTCAGATCAAGTTTCTGCTCATAATCTTTATAAGTTGGGTAGCTCACGGTAAATACCCCAAAGATTTCCGGGCCCATTTTTTTTTTGTTTAGCTCTGGGCTCTTGCACAGGGCTCCTGTGGCCTTCAAAGATTGTGTGGACAATATGTGTGGTGCTGCATGCCAGATGAGGTGCTGCAGGGCTGTGAGGAAAGCAGCAGTGAGGCCTCTTGATTGAAGGTAAAATGTTCTCCTGCGTGCCCCAGAGGATAAGTGGAAATAAAACAGCATTGCAAAATTGCCTTGGTAATTGTGGCTTTTGCAGCTGCAGAAAGAGAACCGAGCAGCAGCATTTTCTAGGAGGATGAGGCAATAGCCTGTGAGTGAGGTGCTCTGGAATTTACTTTGTAGATCTTTATAAATATCATAAGTGCTTTTTTTTTTTTTAACTCATAAGCACTCTTAAATTTTCTTTAGAATTTAAGAGCATTTATGCAATAGAGTTACAATAAATTGAAATATAAAATTAAGACCGTAAAAAGCTAGAGAAAAATATGCTACATGCCAAATTTGATTCTGAGCTTCCTGGAAGCCAGAGGGAAGAGGGAGTTAATCATGATAAGCCCCCTAGTTGCATTGTTTACACTGGTTTAGGAGATGGGTAACCAACTCTGTGAGATACCTCCAGGAGGTGTGCTATCCCCAAATCTGTAATAGGTTTAACTTAACAGAGCTTCAGGATTGCTGGGGAGATTCATAACTGCTACCCACATCCTGTGGGAAAGGTGTCCGTAGTCAGGGCAAAGAGATCAGCAAGTGCCTGCCTAAGGCACCTTAGAGCCCGGACCATAGCGTGTGGCCATTGTGACCTTATGAGGTGACCAGACTTTCCATTGGTTTCAGGTTACCGGATGCGGTTAGGGTCTAGCACAGACAAAAAGGATTCAGGCCGCCTTCACGTGGACTTTGCCCAGGCCAGGGACGACTTCTATGAGTGGGAATGCAGGCAGAGGATGCGTGCCCGCGAGGAGCGGCACCGGCGCAAGCTGGAGGAGGACCGGCTGCGGCCACCCTCGCCGCCGGCCATCATGCACTACTCGGAGCACGAGGCCGCGCTGCTGGCTGACAAGCTGAAAGGTAGGAGGCCCCGCACACTGTGGTCCCTGGATGCCGAATCCCTGTGTGTTTCTCATCCCCTCACCTGGTCTCGTGGGATGTGCACACGGGGTCACCTGGAAGCAGCAGACACCCGGGCTGTGTAGTCCTGCTTGGGATGAGACAGGGCCCTGCCCCTTTCCAGCACTTACATCTGTGTTCTCCGTGAATGTGTGTGTACTGTCACCCAACAGAACTCACTGACTGAGGGGTAGGAGGGTGGGCAGCACTGAACCAAAAGCGGGCCATCGTCTCCTGAAGCAGTGCTTACCTGCTTACCCAGCCAGGTCAGAATCCACAGGCGTGGGCTCGGAGGGTAAAGGGTTTAAGTGGACACCAGACTCTTAAGCCTCACCACATATCAGACACTTGCTAGGAAGGACAGAAGAGAACCGTAGAGCAGAATCTCTGTTGCTATGGGTCAGATATGTTCCCCCCAAATTCATGTATTAGAAACTTAATCTCCACTGTTAACAGTGTTAAGAAAGTGGGAAATCCTATTATGGTAATTGAAAGATGGGGCCTTTAAGAGGTGATTAGATTGTGAGGACTGTACCCTCGTGAATGGATTAATCCATTGATGGTTTAAAAGGTGGTCATGGGTATGGTTCTGATGGCTTTATAAGGAGAGCAAGTGAGGTGTGGTTAGCTCTCCTGCTCAGCCCATTCTTGCCATGTGATACACTGCATTGCTATGGAGAGTCATCCCACCAGGAAGGAGGCCCTCATTAGGTGTGTTCCCTGAACTTTGGACTTCTCAGCGTCTGAAACTGTAAGAAATAAATTCTGTTTCCTTATAAATTACCTAGTTTCAGGTATTCTGTTACAAGCAACAAAAATGGACTAATACACCTGTCTTCAGAGATGGAGTTGAAAGGGACACTTCTAACACCTCCAGGATAATTAGCAATAGAAGAGAGCATATTCCATTTCCTCGAATGTTTGCTGAGCCCTTCTTCCATGCTTGATACTGTGGGAGATAAAGACACATGGAAGCATTTATACCTGCCCCAGTGAACTACAGTGGTGACTCAGAAGAGTCTGGATTTTGTAGTTAGGGTGATGGGTGTGTGCGAATTCAGTTCTAATATTGACCAAAGTTGTGAGAGCTGAGCAGTATCTAGGCGTTTTACAGACAAGTGATGATCGGGCCCTCCTCAGGTCATTGGACACTGTCAGGATTGAATGAGAGAACATAGGTCACAGTTGCTGGCCACATGTAGGTGTCTATAAGTCAACTATTAACTGCAATACCAAGCCAATGACATGATTGTCAACCAAGGTATGTGCAACATGCTTTGGGAACTCAGGAGCGAGTGCAAATAATGTTGGGGGGTGTCAACAAAGTCTTCACAAAGGAGGTGGAATTTGGACTTTGCAGGATGGACAAGATATTTTTCCCAGGAGAAAAACAGGCATAAAGGCATTCTAGACAGAGGCTGGAGCCCTAGGAATAAAGATACATAGAAGCAAAGAGGAATTCGGCACAGGAGCTGCGTTTATAGAGCAAGGTGAAGCTAGAAATGCAGTCCAGGGCCATATGGTGGAGCCCTGAAGGCTATTGGTATATTTGGGTTTTATTCCAGAAGAGTGGAGAAGCCATCACAGATTTCTGATGAGAGGAGGAATGTGACTGATCCTTCAAGTGTTTTAGAGCATAGCTGGTGTATTGCTGGCAGCGTGTTAAGTGAGTTGGGTGTTTTCACTAAAGGAAATGTATGAAAAGCTGCCCAACACGTATCTTAGAGAGATAGGAAGTTGACATTCTGTGCATTAAAAAAAAAAAAAGGCCTGTACTTCTGGCTCTTATCGCCTGTCTGGGACTTGGGAGTCCCTTCTCAGCTGCCATTGCCACTGATGTGCCCTGTTGTAACCACAGAGTGCTTCTTGCTGAGGCTTTTGATTCACGGGCTGCTGTTCTGAGAAGACATGTCTCACAGATGTCAATACCTAGGCCATAGCTGTCCCTTTAATAAGAAGCATATGCAATGCAAATGCAGACATCATCTCACTTTTCCATTCAGCCTAGAAACCGTAAGGAATGGCCAGAATGAGGAAGAGCAATGTTCTCAACCAGGAATGTTCATTGGAATAAATATTTTTTTCTTTAATATTCAGTACATTGCATGGTATCAGCTTACAATCTATATAGTCTAACCTGTATTGGTTCTGTGACCTTGTGGAGGAATTTCATGAAAGTTTGGCATTTGTATTAAGTTATTTCTGTGAAATCAGCACACAAGTGTCTGTGCATGTATGAGGTACATGGCATTTGCCTCTCCTTTTAGAGGATAGCAGATTGGGATGTCAATTTGGTAAAGTAATTTGCAAGGCTTGCCATTTCAAAAATATATATTTGTATAGATGAGTATAATTTGCAGAATTCAGAAGCTGTGCCTTTGCCAAGTACTGTGTGATCCCTTGAGGAGAGAACAGATTGGAAATTTTAATAGATGGCTGTTACAGTAGAATGAACTAGCTGGGAATACATCTTAGGCAAGAGTCAGGTAATATCAAGTTTGACAATTTCAACCCAAGCACAGAGTTTGGAATATAAACAGCATTTAATTGCTTAGGAAATTGGCTGCTTCAGAGAGGAAATCCACTCCATGCTCCTTATAACGCTGCAAAACCAGGCAGGAACAGCCAAGGAAACTGTTTCCCTGAAGATGATTTCATTGATGTGAGGATATAAAATACAGTCAAGACCTAAAGTAAAGAAACCTGTGTCAGAAAGGAAATGGAAATGCAATCTGAAAATATTTAATTGGATTTTATTTTTCTTCTCCCCTGAGAAATCTTGCTATCTTAGGTTTATTACAGACATTTTTCTCCGTTTTACATCATGCTTGTTTATTCTTACAATTTTCTTTTTGAAAATCAGTTTTATTCAGCAAAATCTGCCCAAGCCAAGTCTTTTCTGTGACCCACTAGGCCCTCCATGTACTGTCCAGTCTAAGACTGTGCACAGGGTAGGTGCTCAGTAGATTAATTCCTTTCTCTCTTTTCATCTCTTTGGATCTATGAGCATGTTACATGCCTGGCCAGAAGTGCTACTGGGCATGACTGGAAGTGTAGGGAAATGATGTGTGTTGAGCTGTCATTTCAGTCACTTAGCAAGTACTTGCCACACATTGTATCAGATGCCTGGCACTGTGCTAGGCACTGGGGAGAAAGAAAACAGCATACAAGCCCCTGCCTCACAGAGTTTAGGTTTCTGAAAGTGAGAGAGGAAATAACAAATCACCCTGCACTTGGCATAGTGCACTATTTGAATAATATATGTAATAATTCCACTACTATAAGTGGAAAATTCAAGGTGCTATCCCAGGAGAGATAGCCAACGCAACTGGGCAGTTGTGAATGGGTGAGGGAGGGAACAAGTTTACCCCATCACTGGCTGCTTAGCCTTCTGAAGCCAAAGGAAACACTAAGTTGTAATTACGTAGTGTCTGAGGCATGGAGTCACCCAGTGTCTGTTACTTTAATATGAATTCTAAAAAAGAAAATTAATGGGGACCCTGCTGGTTAAATAGACATTGTTCTGAGACAATTCGACTTAATGAAGACTGACTGGGAAGTAACTGCTCACAGACCCAAAGTTTATAGCATGGCTTTGAGAAAGTGAGAAGGAGCTCAATAACACCATAATTACACTTTATTGGAAACAGTGGCACCAGGCAGATGAGATAATGAATTTCAGTGTATGTAACACAGACCATCCACCCTGGGAGGAACACTGTGTTTGGACTGTGGAAGGAAGAGATTTATTAGACATTGAGGAAGGATTATATCCTAATTCATTGGGGGTTTCTCCTGGCAAGAGCATTTAAAAGTTTTTGGGGTACTTTTTCCCCTTTTGGAAAGCTTCACATAATAAAAATTTATGTGATCAAATTAAGAGTTTCTCTCTGCATCAGGTGAAGTTCTGACAAAGCTTTGCAGGCAGTGTCCTTGGAATTCCCTGATGTGTCATCAAGAATTCAGTCTTGCTGGGATTGGCGTTCATAATTTCCAGAGGACTAGACTCTGATTTGCATATAGAATGGCCCAGTGTTAGCCTGCCAGATGGAGGAAGGGGTACAAGTCGTACCGGCATTTTGCTGAGATGGTCATCAATATTTATGGTTCCATGAAAGTCAGAATCAATAAAGCTATGAGCCAAGTGGATGTTCCATCAGCTAAAAGCCAGGCTTCCTTCTTAGGGCATGGGAAATATGAAGCATAGGCGCCTGTTTGAGGATCACTTCCTTAGGTGTTATTGACCTTCACAGAGGCAAGATAAGCTATTTTATTTAGTAACATTTAGCTTGACCTCAAAGCAGGAATAATCAGTTCATTTTCATATTACCTTCTTAATTTTCTCACTCTTACAAATACTAAATAGTTGGGGCGATTGTGTGTGTGTGAGTTGGGGGAAGAGGGGTACATTAACCATTTGTGTAGCTTTTTATGCTGTGATTTGGTTAATTAATGCAAGGATTGAGCAGCCAGAAAATAGAGACTTGTTGAGGGACACACAGTGAAATTTTGGGAATGTGGCAGCAGCAATGCTTTGACCATCCTGGGATTCCCAGTCTGCTTAGATCAGTATGTGACTGTACACTGAGCAATTTTTAGCTAGCATGGAAGCCAGAAATTAGTGATAACTGTATAAACACACTGTTCAGTGTGTGCATGTGTGCATACATGTGTGTATGTCCCCATTTCTTTGGAAAGAAAAGTGTTATAGAATGTCCCCCCTTTTATTTGCTCTTTCTGTTCAAACATGGAATCTCCTGTTGTTCCTTTATAGACCCAGCCATAAATAAGGATACTACAGCCCACCTAAGTTTCACATTCAGTGTTCATGGCCTGGCTTTTATCCCATCTATTGTTCTGAAATTCGGGGTTGGAGCTCCCTGTGCACACAAAGGGGGAGAAAAAAACTGCTTGCCAATTTGGTTCCTTTTCCCCATCATTATCTACATATTAGTTTGATT